CCGCCCACAAGAAATTGACCGGTAAGCCGTCTTGAATGCAGCTGAGACGTCTCCGCTGCTAGACGACACACTCGTGTAGCATCAACATCGTATTTGCTCTCGGGACAATTCCATCTTGAGACAAATGTATAAGTATTATATATCAAAATAACCGCAAGAAGCTGCTTTGAACGATAGTAAAACAAGGACTCAGACGCATGAAAAATAATCAACAAAGACGAAAAAGTCCTGAAACTTCTTGCCAACCATTAACACTTGTATTCTTTAGCATAGTGTGAATTGAAACACGGTATATGTGCTGCGGGCTGTGGCCGAGTGACTTGTGATGCTCAGAGCGGGGCTGAACTTCGCAACATTCTTCAGCAATCAAAAACGAACGCATGGTACGCCTCAGTCCGGATATTCTCGAGATTCAAAGTGACGTGCTCGGGCAGTATTCTACGACGTTCGTAACGAAAATGTAACCTCAAGAAAGCAAAGAGATGAACTGAATAATAGAAGTACTCGGAACCACACAGTAGAGAAAAAAATGTCACGCGGGTCAAATCAAAGTTACAAAATGGTCTGTAGTCCAACGCAATTTTTTTTATTTAACCGCTTCTATCGGTGTTACGATGTTCCAATTAGATACCCATTGAAGTAGAGTGATGTGCAAAACTTTCGCGTCAGGCAGGACTTGAACCTGCATTTCACCCAATCCAGGAGCGCGAGCTCTATTCCCTGCACCACCAACGCTTCTCTTGATACCTTTCTTTTCGAGTGGTGCAAGGAATAGAGCACGCGCCTCCGGATTGGGTGAAATGCGGGTTCAAGCCTCGCCTGACGTAAAAGTTTCGCACATCATTTTACATAAATGAGCGTATTTGTAACATCTTACCACCGCTAAAAGAGGATAAATAAAAAAGGAGTTTCAATTACTAAACATCTGAGAGAACATCTCGCCTTCAGGGGCCACCAGGTTCAATAGCATGCCGAAGAGCAAAAGAAAAAAACCGTAATAGAAATCTTGAAACTGAACCCACCTTTCTCCTGAACAAATTTCCCAACCATAACGTCATAAAGATACGGCTCACGTTCCCGCATTTTTTCGTCCGAAAAATATTTTCCATCCTCTTTCAGCTTTTGCAACATTAGATAACGACGAATTTTCAGCTGAAAAGAATAAATTGCAGTCCGGAATTTTATGCATTGGTGTAAATGCGTGCGGACAAACAACGAACGGAGATTGCAAAACGAACATTTTGAGTATCCGATCGTCTCCGCTCATTTGCCCGATCATATATCCGATAAGTGGATCGGACTCGCCTTGAAATAACGCACAGTCCTCATTAATCATATATTTTCCGTACCTGAAAAATCGGGAAAGTGTAGAGTTCAAGAAAATGTTGCGGATTAGGTAATAATAAAATAAAAGGAGAAATAATATTTCAAACAGCCCTAAAAGAATGAGTTATAGGCAAAAATTCGACTTCAGGCGGGAGTTGATCCCGCGTTTTACTGATGCAGGCAGGAGGTGCCTGCTACACCACTACACCACCGAGGCCACCACTGCGTCATTTTGCTTACCACTACTATCTAAAGTGCATTTGAAACACCATAACACTTCGAAAAGCAGTAAAAAGTATGGAAAAGCTTGGTAAATAATATAAAAAATTGGCAGTATAATAATTTCAACAAGTGATAAAAAAATATTGATCTCTGAAGAAGACGAAGACGTCGGAACGTTGGCCGAGGAAAATTTACTTCCATCAGTTTCGTGTTCTAGGCTTAATAAGATATCGAACAAGGGTTCTTCTTCTTCATCATCTTCTTATTCTCCTTTCATCCCTTCGTAGAAGCCTGTAGTAAAATGGCTGAGTGGGAGGGGCAGGGGCTGTGGACGAGCGCCTGGTGGTGCTCAGCGCCGCTCTCGACTCCCAAATCATCTACGTATATTTGAAGGGGGTAAATTCTACCCTCCTCTAACACTCCGGTAATGAATAACGAACGCCCACAAAAAGCCGCGGCCTGGCTATCCTCGAGATCATAAGGAAAATGGATTCAACCAGCATTTTATGGCGTTCATGGAAGAAAACAAATTCTCAATCAAGCCGATGTACGCGAGGAGACTAAATTGAATTCTAGATGGGCTGAAACTCCCAAGGTGACCGAAAGTCACATCTGGCCTTTACAATGACTCGCGGTGGCCTCCCGCTTAACCAAGACAGTGCTGCTAATGCCTCCCAGACAAGTCTGAGACCTGCCTGGTACCACTTGACCGGCCCCAGAGGGTTGGTGGCTTAGTGAGCTATGAGCGCGAGATCGAACCAATGACCTCGTGTGCGACGCAGGGCACCTCTAACCACTGCGCCACGTGCGCTCTTGTAACATCATACAACTGCTGAAAAAGAAGTAGAGGAATAAATTCGAGTTAAATAAAAAATAAACCCAATGATGTCAAGTGATGTGCAAAACTTATGGGTCAGGCGAGTTCAATGGGGTTCAATGTCCGACTACCACGGCTATGTCCTCTGATCGTTAGCTGACGACAGATAGATGCGTTGTAGCACAGAAAGAGTGGTGGCGAATGCAACGGTAGCGCAACGGGTTAGGGCACGCGCCCACCGAAAGGGGCGAAATGCGGGTTCGAGTCCCGCTTGACGCAAAACTTTTGCATATCAATCAACATCATTGGATATATTTCTGACATTATAACAGTGATACAGCGGTACTAAAAGAAAAGAAAAAAAATAAATTATCAAGTCGTAAAAGAAAGAGCGACTCGATTCACAGAAGCACTGGTTAGATCGTTACCTTTGCAGGAACAGAGCCTTATTCGAAGTGAGCAGATCGCTCAGGATTGTTCTCTTCTGATCCGTCGATAAGTCCGGCTCGTCACATTGCTGATGCCGATAGAAAACGTCCGGCTCGTTCAGAATTCGCTCGAACAGCGAGTCGGCTGCCGTCGTCATCGTCGAATGACACGAAGGAAATCCAGAGAGAAGAGAAGCAACCGCGCTCGGTGGCTCTCCTATGCTCCAATCAATAATTATGCATTGAAATCAAGCGGTAAAAGACCAGACATCGGGCCAATAAGAGCGTCACTACGAAAAATTATCAAGAGTGGTGCGATAGCGCGACGCGCGAATGCGGGAAATTGGGCGTGTTGTCCGTAAGCGCAGAACGAACCGAAGAATTCAAACCGAATGCGCGCGAAACGCCAAGTAATATCGGGGTCCCACTGGGAAGCCGCTTAATAGGCGTGGACCTTGTTTATTTGTTTGTTTATCAATCTGTTACTCCTTATTGATTCTTTGAGTAACGATTGTATCGATCTATCACGGAAAGAGTTGTGGCAGAACAGGAGCGCGGATAGCGCAGTGGTTAGCAAGCGTCTCCGGAAAGGATGAAATGCAGGTTCGAATCCCGCCGATGTTCGAAGTTTTGCATATCACTCACCAGTATTAATCAACTAGATTCTCAGATTTAGCGCTCTTATGGCAATGTTTTGATGATATAGTCAAATATCCAATAATGCTGAATGACTTCCGACCTCAGAGGGAGGGCGGAGGAGTTGAACTCACGTCTCACCCTTACCAAGGGCGTGTAACTGTCACTACACTACCGAGACCACCGCCGAAACCAATACTTATTACCTACCATGACCTGCGGCCATGTGATCTTAAGGATCTATTAGACGGAGCTGTTTTGTAATATTTGGTCAATAAAAAGCTAAAGAATAAAGCTGTCGGCGTTCGTCAATCCCTGAGCGAATCGCCATGCATTCCACTCCATTCGTGGAGTTGTTAGAGGTGATTATATAATATCTGATCTATTCAGTGATCCACGATGGCCCACTGATGTATCAAGTCGGTGCTGTTATCCTCCCAGACAAGTCTGATAGCAGCTTGCCGATCCCGGAGGTATGGAAGACATGGTGAGCCTTAGGCGGGATCGAACCACTGATAACGTGCTTCGCAAAGCACGTCTAACCACTGCGCCATACGGCCCTCCTTTCCTGGCATCTCAGGGGACATTCTCTTTTTGTCAAGATCAGAAATGGTGATGTTCTTATGCAAGTTAGTCGAACGCTTCTTAAACTTTTCTGTATCGGACTGAGCTCAGTTCTCGATATGTTTGAAGTATGTGAAGGGTTCAGTGGTTTTTTTCTCAAGACCGTGTGAGCTTTCGAAGGCTTCTATACAGAAGTCGACCGATTGCGCAATGGTAGTGTTGCCGTTCGTGATGTGCATGGTGCTGGTTTGACGCCGCCGACGGCTCACCAAGCTTCCTATTCTTCCGTAATCGGGAACTTGTATCGGATTTAGTTGGATTCAGCCCTTTATCTACGAAAATCCTCAAGCAGCGGTGGACTTCAAATCCGAAAACTTGAGGATTTAGGAGACGAATCGATTGCAATAAGTGCTGGTTGAATGTGAATGTGAGAGAGGAGGAGTGTGAAATAAAAAAGAAAATAATAAAAGTGAAGATACTTGGATACTTGGACGGTTTCCTCTTCACAAATTGTGCGGATCCCAGCGCATGAAAATGTGTTGATTTAGCTGCTTTGTTCCCTTGGGTCTCGAGCTAAGCCTAACCGGGGTTTCCTCAGGTCGTTACAAAATCAGAGCAGTTGCTGGCCCTTGTGGATCAGAGGGAAATTAGCACCTTGCGATTGGTAGCTGGCGACCAGGACGGCGGTCCTTCCTGGTACGGTTTACTCTTATCTGGGCTTTCCGAGTGGAAACATCGGACTCCTTTCCAGCTTGGGTAGCCCTGCTGGAGGTTTGAAACCTCTGCTCTACATCTCAGTCCAGCACCCAGGAGTACACCTCCACGCCACGATGAAGCGTCGAACCATCTCGGAGAAATGGTGGAAGATATATTGAATAATTCATCAGAAGTGATTCAAGATGATTCCCGGAGACGGCTTTCTTTTGATCTCGGCATTGATCGAACAATGAGTGCTCTTCCGTGTAAGACTTGGACTGGCTCGTCTCCGAGTGATGTGCAAAGCTTTGAACCTCGGACGAGATTCGAACCCGCATTTCACGCTTTCCGAGGGCCCGTGCTAACCATTGCACTACCGGCGCTCGTCCTACGGTGACCCTTTCTTCGACACAGTTGTATCGATCCGTCAGCTAAACAACCGTCAAGGGTTTAGCCTGGCTTGCCAATATCGGCATTGAACCCAGTCTTGCTGACACATACTATATATATCATATAATATATATGATATATAATCAGCTAGATTCATCTTGAATAACGCATTCAGAGGTGGTATGAAGTTACAAGTGCACACGCAATATTGTTCAATGATATGCAAAGCTTTGAACGTCGAACGGGATTCGAACCCGCATTTGACGCTTTATAGGGACCTGTGTTAACCATAGCACTACCGACGCTCGTCCTGCAATCACCGTTCCTTCGCCCGGAAAGAGTGAAATGCGGGTTCGCATCCCGTCGGACTTTCAAAGTTTTGCGTATCCCACTACGCTATTGGTTTCAAGATGTTCTCAAAGCGTTTGATGTATCAGATTATAAAGCTTACTGTCAAATTAGGGACTCTTCAATGGGATAGAAAAACAACGTATTTAGGACTATCCACCAGGCACTACAATAGTTTTTAAATGTTCATTTTGAAGCGCTGTGCTTCATCCACCGTAGTAACTTCCAAATCCGAATATAATACATTAACTTGAACCTTATCAGTGGGTATTTCAGACTGTCGAGTCTATTTTTATATTTGTGTAATTTTATGACGTTTCTGCAAACTCGCCACTTATACGACGCGTGCCTCCGATCAGTGCACAGCGGGGTCGCTTGTTCCTGGAGTGAAGAGACTTCTATCCATTCTCTGAGGCATTGAGTCAGTCGGTGGCATGTGATCGGAGCCCCCACCCGAGTTCTTCGGGCGAGGGTAGGTCAAACCTGAGTGCTCATTGCCAAAGGTGAAAATTGGCCTGACCCCAATCTGCATGGAATAAATAAACTAAGTGGAAAAACGGGAGCCCATCAGTGAGAAATCAAAAAGGAAGAAGCAAATAGAACATTCTAACGATAATTTATTTTTGAAAAGACTGGAAGCGCAGTGGCGCACGTGACCACGATGAATCAGGTTTTCGTTCCCACGCATCAGCATGGTATGTCCAAAATAGATGATCAAACCCTTTTCGAAAAGATATCCGTGGTTAGTCAAACGAGAGCTGCGCTTGAATAGTCACTGATGTTGATTAATATGCAAGAATTTGAACCTCAGGCGAGCGTTGAACGCTGTTTCACCCTTTCAGAGGCTGGCGTGCTAACCACTGCACTACCAGAACTGCTGTTATGCTGTCTTTCCTTCTGAGATACAATATTTCGAATCTATCAGCAATCAATCGTCAACGTTTTAGCCTGTTAGACACGTACTGGCATTGAACCCGATTACACTAACAGCTATTGGATTCATGCGATCCTCAGAAATAACATCATAGCACTGCTAAAAGCGCAGTGAATCAAAGAGCTTATGACGAGTGCTCTTGAATAATTACATTCCTCGCCGGGTTTCCGGTTGAAAGTTCTCAATTCCTAAGCTTAGGTGATCTTGTTAGTTGGATACATTGTAGTTTGTTATTCAGGAGCGCTGCGAAACCCCTTACTGTGGCGGTAAATCAGTAAATGATTTAAATGCTATCCATAAAAATCTGCAAAGCTACGGACTTATATCTATCAGGTATGAAATAACGAGGCTGCTACTTCTCGACGCTATGTATTTCCATATGAGGTTGTTACTCAACCTCCTTGGCTTATCAAATCCTCATTTTCTTCTTAAGCCAGGCACGAGGCGTTATGATTATCTTTATTCAAACAGCTGATATTTTGGCATCAAACATCTCCATTACGCTTCCAGAAAAAATCACGAGACCTAGACTGTAATCGCATGAAATACAAAAAGTGTCTGGCTTAAGAAGAAAACGAGTTAGTGAAGCATGCCGAGGTAAAGAGAGAGTGGCTCTTGGCAATTTCTTAGCTTACATCTTTCCTCAAGACATAGAGCTGTTCATTTGATTATTTCCATAATTCTTCTTTTCCACCTATTCTACTCTACAGGCAATACACAGGTTTTTGCTTTATGTTCTTTTGAAAAAGTATCTGTCTGCTACAGAATGGTCGCGCAGCTCTAGTCTTATCACAGCGTCTAAAGACGCCTTCTCGTCCCTGACTCTTTCGTATTCCTCAGTTCCTTGTGAAAGGAATGCATGAGACGTCATATTCAGTAGTTTTCACATACGGAAATAGCATATTGGGATGGCAAGAAAGTGTCCGAACTTCGTTTTTGTTCATTATTTTCCATCCATTCAAATTTTCTTTTCAACTATCGTTTGAAGCAATTTGTTGCGGTATTTAGATATATAAGACTTATACATTAATGACTGTTCCGAGAGAAAAAGCGATAGTTGATGTTACACGAGTACTGTTTGGGTTCGAATGCTGCTGAGACACTCTGCTAGCTTAACGAGGCCGGATGTTGGAACACTTGAGAGAAGTGCAGGTATAAGAGGAGCTGTTGAAGTTAAAGGGAATACTTTTTTTTTTAAAACTGGATAAACTTGCACAAAAAGGGGAAGTCGGAGAATCTCTTATCAACCCAATACTGTTTTAAATTTGAGAAACAGACCTGTTTGAGACTTGTAAAATGATATGTATCAGGCATGTCTCAAGTCTCTTCGAAAATAGACGGTGAAGCATTCTGATAGGATGGCACAGTCTATATGAAAAGATTGGCAAGAGATACTAACCTCCTTTGTATAACTTTATTTCTCGTCAGTGAGGCATTTATAATGAACAAACACTGTATGCGGAGAATTCAAGAAAACATTGTTCAACCAAACAATGGAGACTTAGTGATGCAGTTTGTCAAGAGCAATCTGAAAAGCAAGACGATGATTCGATTCCCTCTGTCAATACTCTCTTTCAATCAATCAGATGCACGCCCAGGAACGCCTTAGCTCGGTTACCTCCGTGATCGCAAAGAGTATCGTATCGACCAACATTCTACGACATTTATGGAGAAGAAATGCTCATGCAGCCAAACTTGGCAAGCATTAGGTTGATGCAAAAGTGGTGACGGTTTATGCATTGTTCAAATTTGTTTAATATGAAATAAAATCATAGATAAATGCAGTCATGATACATATCATTTCAATGTGCATTTCTCGCTCCGAATTTTATTCTAATGGCGTTTAACTTGCTGCTAATATTAGGCTGGGGACGTTATTTGATGAAAAGTGATGGCCGTTTCACATCATGAGTTCAAAATAGATAGCAAAGCAGCAGAGACAACCCGCAGCATCATCAACTCATTTGGGTCAGAAACTATTAAAAATATACATTGCAGGGGGTTCAAGGAGTTTGTAAAGGAGACGGGGCCTTGAAAAAGAAAATGATGGCCGACCATGGGAAGTCGACAACGGCCATTTGCAAGAAATCATCGAAGCTGATCTTAAGAATACACGAGATTTTGCACAAGAACTCAACGTTGACCATTCTACAATTGTTCGCTATTTGAAGCAAATTGGGAAGGTGGAAAAAGTTGGTGCAAAAGTAATGGTGGTTCAATTAGATCTAGCCGACAACCGTAGGTGGCACAACGAACGCTTCAGAAGTTGAACGAATTGGACTATAAAGTTTTGCCTCATACTCGAGCCGGACCTCGAGCCCATCGACTACCACTTCTTCAAGCATGTTGAAAATTTTTTGCAAAAAGAACGCTTCTACAGTCTACGGGATGCAGAAAACACGTTCCAAAGGTTCGTCGCATCCGTAGACACTAATTTCTATGCTGCAGGAATAAGCAAGGTTATAACCCGTTGGCAAGAATGTGCTGATTGTAATGGCACCTATTATAATTATTGAAGATTGATTTTGAAAAATTGGAGATTGATAAAGATGTGTCTGAGCCTAGCTATAATCTTTTAGAAATTCACGCTTTAAAAACCGGCGTTACTTTTCCACCAGCTATAACTGCTCGATCTTAGATAGATTGCCGATTAACTGTTGAAGAATAGTAGAGACGATACGAGAAACAAGTCAACAATTAATATTGCCTGTGATTACTCTTGCAATGCACTACTCCATTTTTATACAAAATACCCTCATCACATCTGTGTAGATCGTAGCGCCGCTTGCATTTTTCATTTCCTCGAATTTATCCTTCACAGAGGTCAATAAATAATTCAAGTAATACTTACGCAAATGCAGTTCGCTTTTTTACAACTGCTTAAACTTGTACAAGGTGCTTCTGTTTATGCACTCGAAGTGGTACCGTAATTTTAAGTACCGTTTAGAAAATTTTTGCGATATTCATTAGTCATATACCAATCATGACCTAGGAGCGATTAAATTATTTCATTTTATCACGAAAATTAAGTGTTATGTAATTGAATAAATATTTTATTGGTTATTTCTGTGTCTTGCTTTGTGGTTTAAAACTAGTTACATGCACGTTGATCTTCAACTGAGTTTTTCTATCGTATTCATCGGATCAGTGGAAATTCCAGCAGAGCACTTAGAAACCAAGCTCAGTAATTGATGAACTCTGCAGCCATTGACTACAATAAGGAATACCCGTCATGAGAAGCTTGTTATATCACAGAATCAGTCTTCTAACATTTCTTCTCCATTATGTGATTTAGCAAACTGTACACTCTTCGATTTGGCTTTCGATGTTTCAGCTAACGGCACGAGTTCACGTTCTAGTCCATCGTCGCTAGGTTTCTGCTCTTCCTCTTCTTCCAACAGCCGAAGTCCTTTAGCAAAGTAGATGACCCATATATCGGATAAAAGTCCGATGAAGCATAAGGTGCCATAAATAACATTGAGCCTAAACGATTAGCTGTTACATTAAATTATTTCTCATTGATTTATCATGATTTCAACTTTGTACCCAAAGTAATTTCTAAGTTATTAAAAGTGGAGATATTGATGGAACCAAGATAGGTACTTTTTTTAGAGAAATAGAACAGCAAAAATTATATCGAATTCCCATTCGCTATATAATTACTAAGAATCAATATTGTATTCTCAATGTGATTTGCATCGAAACTATCCCCATTTTTATGACAGTATTCGACCTACCGTACTCGAAGCTGATCAGTATTGTAAATCGGACATGCCCCAGTTTTATTGCATAGATTTTGCCACATTATACAGCTCATGTCGAATATCTTACCCCAAAACACTGGTGATGGAAGTGTGGCTGAAATATAACTTGGAGAAATAATATACTATTTTTCTGACTTTGTTACTTCTTTGTAACATATCCAATATTCGACCCCTTTCTTAATTTTCCGATTTTAATCGAAATACAAATAACTTAAGGAATAAAAGAGGGAATAAAATTTATATGTATTTGTATATGTGC